CTGTTCAAAGATGAACCTACGCGTGTGTGCGGGCAATTCATGGCGCACGCATGGCGCTATTTTCCCCAACCCGAGAGCCATTTGATTCTACGGCGCGCGCAACACTTATACCGGTGCACGCGCATGGGTTTTTTTCGCATACGAATCTTTAGTTTCCTTTCACGATTCAAATTCTTTTGGAAACCAAATTGGACGCGATTTTAATCTATTTTCTGGCTCTTATAAATAGAGAACGAGGGATTGTGTAACTTTTTTGGATAGAACGGTCTTCATACACCATAGTTTCATCAAATTCATTAAGAACAAGAGGTCAATTGTTATATTTTGAGAGAGGAGATCAAGCCATTGCAAGGAATTGAAGGTCAATTATATCAAGATTTTGAAAAATTCAACATTGGGTTTGAAGATCAACATCTTTTGATTTATTTCATGATTCGGGTGATATTTTTCTATCATTTTTCTTGTAATTTATTTATTAATATTTTAGGCTAGATCCGTTTTTATATTAGGCGAAGATGAAACATATTTGTTTATTTATTTTAATTCAAGACTAGTAGTTTAATTTATTTATTGAGTTTCTTGATTAATTTTGCATACTCATTGCATTATTTAATTGTTTGATCACCAATTAGATAATTAGTTGATTATTTTAGTGTTGGAATGCTCACAATAAGTTTAGAACGNAAGTTTAGGACATGGCAAAATTAACGTATGTGCAATAGATGTTAGGAATAACATTTATCACGTATGCAATCATATAGATAATTTAAACTTTAATGCATTCTAATCATTCGAATTCGGGCTAAGAATAGATTCGGGTCATGATTAGAATAGATTTCTTAGAAAAGAAAATTTTATATATCATAATTTTATCGATTGTCAAGAACGCATGAACGGAACTAAATTACAAATCAAGAATTGATATATATATATATATAACAATAGGTGGATTCGAAATCAAATACAATCATCCATAATTTGATACAAAACACTTTTACTGCTTTCTTAGATAATTTAGTATAAAATAAAATCAAAATCTCTATTTCCTTTACATAATTCGAATTCCATACATAATTAGTAAATTTAAATTGAATTTATTTCCTATGGGGACGATAATTCTTAATTCTTCAATTCTATTGCTTGTCAATGATCCCGTACACTTTGGAGTTTTGCACGAACAATGAGCGTTTTACTCAAGTTGGCTTAGCTTGAATAGAAGCAGTAATGCACATTGAATCGCCTTACTGGAGTGCCGTGTTCTTTCGAGATGCAACATGTCATAGTAGGCATTGTCCATGAGCTCTTGAGGAATTTGTCCCTCGTCAACACATACTATATTTTCAATGTGTTATGACCAAGTATTTTTGTTAACGATATCTGAATCGCCTTATTGGAGTGCCGTGTTCTTTCGAGATGCAACATGTCATAGTAGGCATTGTCCATGAGCTCTTGAGGAATTTGTCCCTCGTCAACACATACTATATTGTCAATGTGTTATGATAAAGTATTTTTGTTAACGATATCCACTATTTTGCAATTGCACATTATACACAATTTGTATTGACAAGCGACTTTTAGCCCCTATTTGACAACCGTACTTCTCAAACTTTTTTTTTTTTATGTACTCATCATCAACAATAAAATATTCTGTAAGTAAATTCAAAACTTTTTAATTACACATTCTTTTAAAAATCAATATTCGAAACTCAATTTTTGAAAAATATAGTTGTCAAACAGAGGCTTAACAAATTGAGGAATACTTAATAGGCATGCATGTGCATCTATTTATTTAAGCGACAATCTCGCTATTCTTTTTTGCTGTGCGATGTGCACGACTAGGTGAACATGCAACGTATTCTAGGCTCCAACACTGGAGTCTGGTCCTTTGCTGACACGGGCTATGTCATCAATTTTGGAGATTCTTTTGTTGTTCCCTGTGTGACTTGGTTATTTAGTCGTTGCACATTGGACTCTGCCTCTGTCAATAGGGGATTGACAATTGCTATAGATTGTGTGATGTTTGATAGAAAGTACACAGAGAAATTGAATTGTCTTTGGCATGCACTATGAAGAGGGAACTCTACAGGTGAGATTTGGTAGTTGAAAGTGGACCCCTCAAGAATTGAACGGGTAGTTTTGTACTACTTAGTCAAAATATATAGTTATTTACCTACTTTTAATGGGAAAAATTAACAGATAGGTATCCAACCCATTGAAAATGTAGCAAGTGAATCCCAACTTAATATTGTGACAACCTCAGCTCAGCTCCCAACATTTCATTTTTGTAACACTTTACTTGAAAAACTTAAAAAAAATTGTTAGAAAAGTTAACTAAATAAGAAATTAGTAAATAATGGAGGAAAACAAAAATAAAGAAAAAGCAAAACTCGCCCAACACCCAACAATTGCTTCAACTCCTTAGTGAATTAGTTTTTTTTTTTTTAGTCTAATTAAAGAATAAGGGTATATGTAGATGAAGGGAGTCCAATCCATATGCATCCCCTTGGGGAGAAGGGTTTTGATCATAATTATTTTTAAATTGGTAACAATTCCTCAATTTGATGATCTTTATTTAAAGAAGTATTTAGAAGAGTCAGAAAATATAATATGTGGATAAAAGTAACACAATATTTTGCATGGAAAACTTCAAAATCACAGCAAAAATACGAGGCATAAAAGAAGTTTCACAATGTGAAAAGAACAATGTTATTCATCATTACGATGATGGACCATCGGTAATGTAACAATTTATGTGAAATAATGAGATTGAACGATTCAATTTTTATGAGAGAGAGAAGGGGGAGGGGAGAGAGAGAAGTGTGAGGGATAATGTGTTGTCATATCACCAATATTTCATTGTGATGATAAATAACATTACTCATGTGAAAATATGAAACCGAATCATAGTATCATCGACTTGCATTTGCCATAATCGAAAACTGATTCTTCCAACAAAAATTTTCATGTCATATTTGAACCTGTCATATTTGATTCGTGCTCCGACACTCCAAATACTAAAAGTAAGAACCCAAAGTTCTTAGCTCCTGCATCGTAAATATTTTGTGAAAATGATCCCGATCAGTTACAAGCAACAAACAATAATTAAGAAATAAAAATTATACAATTTTATATTTCGATTTTTCATGTTCTACTGCTCTAGGGCTATACAAATTCGAATCGTAGACCTTTTTTATTAAAACGGATCACTCTTCCCCAGCCAAACTTGGGCAAAGTAGCGAAACAAGTACTAGTACCACAACAAAAATTAATGTCTTCCTTGATATTAATATATTTGCCCATGGCAATTGTCAACTCTTAGAATAATAGATGACTTCATCAAAGATATCGTGTTAATATATCTGAGATTTTTTAATTGGCTAGTTGTATATAGTTCCAGAGCTATGGAACGAAGAACCATATCCCAATTCCATTCAGTTAATACAAAATGAGCGGGTAATTAAAAATGAGTTCTAGAAAAAATAAATTTTGAAAAATGGGGACCAAACAAGTGATTATTCTATTGGGAATAAACGAAAATTCTATTTTAAATTAGATTCTAAATAATCTTATTATAAAAAATAAGAAATCTTATTCTATGTGAGATAAAAATATATAAATCCTATTTTAATAGACGATACAAAGTCAATTCTTAACGTAATCACGTTTTTATTGAAAATGAATTTTTTAAAGTAAAATTGTCCATTGGGGGGATTCAAGTGATACAAAAAGATGAATTCGAGAACTGTAACGGTCAAAATAATAGTTATGAGAACCTACGTTCTACATATCCAATAGATCGGGTACTCCAACAGTAATTTCTCCTTTCATTTTATCCTCAAGAATTTGCTCGTTATTAGACGACAAAATAGAAAATACCGCAAATAAATTAGCAGA